GGTTGATATGGTGGTAGCTCGTTCCAAGTTAGTTTGAGAAACTTCATCCATTACATTAATGTCAGGTTCATCATGTAAATCAGGTGATTGTCACACGAATTCAGTTGGGGAGTCTGGAGCCTCAAATTTATTTCTAGCTTGCCCTCTTTGCTCTGATTGGATAGTTGACAATGTAACTTTTCCTTATGCAATAGTACCTATTAAAGTTCGGGTCTTTTTGTAACCATTGGAAATAAAATAATAATAAGAGCAAGTCATATACAAACACATATTACAATCTACCTTCGAATATCTCAGCCAATTTATCGTACAGTGTAAAAGTCTTATTTCTAAATTGTTTTGCTTCTGGGTTTGCCTGTATATCACAATAGCCTTCGTTGTTCATTATAAAAATTGTTGAGTAACAGAAAAAAAAACAATCAAGAATGAATAAATTTATATAAAATAAACTAACTTTGATATAATCCTCGCAAACTTGTTCTAAAGCAAACGGGAATTGCAATGCATCATTCCACCCAAAGCCACTTTGTCCATAGAGTTTCTTGACTGTCTTATATTATTTTAATAATTGGTTCTAATGACTCTTTAATTGTTAGACAGTTAATGATATATTAAAGTTACTATTAAATTTGATCATAATAGTTTTTCAAGCTTCTTTTGTCCATCCAGTATCACATTGTTTGCCACGATCATGTTAATGTTTAAGAGCTTCAACCAAAAAGCTTCTTATATGAATTCAGAGCAATAGAGGATATACATGAAACTCTACAACAAAAAATGATGGAATATATAAGAAGCAACAATTATTTTGTAACTCGTTTTTTTACTGTATGCCACAAAAACCAAATACAAAAAATAACTTGGTTGACCTTCACAATTTTGCTATACTTTACTCCAAAATTGGTTTTTTTGTCAGCCAAAACACTTGGGGATCTAAGACCCAAAACAACCCTTGAGATGTTAAAGCCTCCTTTGATAACCAATATTCATCAGAGCTTTACCAGATCTCAAACCAAAATTCAATAATTTTTTTACTAAAATCTATCAAAAGTCTTTCTCTATTACTTAACAATATTTTTATTTCTTTATTAGTAAAGTCATCGAAAAATTTGCACAACTTTCTCAAAATTCTGGTCAAAATTCAGACGGAACTTTGAACAAAAACTTACATAGTTCAAAATTCTAGTGTACGTTTCAACCCATAATTAACATCATCATCCCAAAAAGAGCAAAAACTTGAACAAAATATGCAACTTAAATACGATTCAAAAAATGGTTTCCATCCATGAATAAAAATAAAACCCCTACCTATTTTCTTAAGGCCAAAAAAGTAGAATTGTTTTTTTAAGGCTAAAATACAAAATAGAATGAAAGAAAACCATTCCCTAATTTCTTCTCCTTTGTTGCAGGTTCAACGAGCAATATTGAAAAGTTCTCTCGAATGGAGCACATAAATCTCAAGGCCACAAGAAAGCCCCAATTGAAAAAGAAGAAAATTGAAATTACCCAATCAATTTAACCTAGGTCAACAGAAATATTGAAGAACCCATCTCTCTCTCAAAAATTTCAAAACAAACATGAGGCAATCAAGCACGAAAAGGAAGGGGCCTTGCACGGATAAGAAAACTTCACAAAAACTCAATCAAAGAATACAAAGAAAGGTGGAGAAAGAGAGATTTGAGAGAGAGAGAGAGTGAGAGGGAGAGCACATGCCGATATGTTGGATGAGCTCTAGTTTCTGGCCATGAAAGAGAAAGTGCAAGAGAAAAATGAATGCTTCTCCTACATCATAAAAGTTTTATACTTATTCTTATCCAACCGTCAATTTGGGATGGAGGCTTAAGATTGCCTCATTCACAATGTCATATCTCTACACTATTTTATTTTTAAGTTTTTTTCTGTAAACTATTTGGATGTTCAATCCTCTATTAAACTCGTATCGGCAAAAAAATATAAAAAAAAAAATATTTCCAATAAAATAAAATGACCAAAATACCCTTGTAATTTTTAAAGGTATTTTGGTCATTATATGTTATCGAAAAATTATTTTTAATATTTTTTATAGGTACGCCCCAATGAGAAGATTGCATGTACCAAATTTCATTCATACAATCTATATAAAAAAAATTAAAAATAAAATACTTTGAGAGGACGGATCTAAGATCAAACGGTGAGTGGCTCTCTTGATCAAAATTGGACGGCTGGATGGTAGGGTAAGCATAGATCTTCTATGTTGTAGGAGAAGTATGGAAACTTTCCCAAAATGGACAAGCTTTCTAATATAAAAGAAGAGATACTGCTAAGAGGAAAAATTTTCAACGTGAGGGCAGAAACTAAAAACACACGCATAAGGAAAAATGCTAACCTGCAAGTTAACGCTTTTCAGCATCTTTTAAAATTGAAGTCCGAATTTTTGTGAGGATACTGATATTGGGGCGACATTCAAAATTTATAAGATTTATTTTGGACCAATCAAACACCACTTTAACCAAATTGAATTTGCAAAAAATAGAATCTTATAATATATCGTAATATGTGTATATTTTGGGCTTATCAAACATACCGTTAGTTTTGTTTATGTAATATTTGTCTTATTTTTCAGTTTTTTTTTGTCTTATTTTTTAGGACCTATTGGGGCCGGTGCACTACTCAGGTGGGGCGAGTTAAAATTTGAGTGAGAACAACACTTGGGTCTTGGAATACATTTGAGAGGGAGGAGCAATTGGGCCTCAAAAGAAATATAAGAGGGAAAGAGCAATACATGAACCCATTGTTATCAAGATCCTACCACTGTTTGAATCCGCAAAAGAACTCGTTCAATCAAAACCGGTCAAATCGACAGATATGGGACCTCTTTTTCAATATAAAAGATTTAAAGATTTATTAGATTATCAAAAATTCATTTAAAATCAGAAACACTTTAGGTAAAAGCAATAGAAAGTTGGGAAAACAGTTTGATGTTTCCCATATTAGTTGAATACAACTGATAAAACTCTCATGAAATTTTGTTTGTTTAGCTCTCGAAAGTTAGGTAAATATTGGCCAATTTTTCAAAGATTGTAAAAAGAATCGATTTTACTTCATTTTCAAGAGACTATCACACAAAGATGTTATGTTTGAAATACATTATGTTCCCAAAATTATGTACATTTAATAAATCATCATGACAACATGAATAGATCTTACTTAAATTTTAATGAGCCATCAAAATTAAAAAAAAATACCAAAATATCAAAAAAAAAAAAAAAAGAATTTCGACAAATTTGATCTTTCTATTTTTCGAAAGAGCCAAAGTATGATATAGTTTCTTTTTCATAGCAATTTTATTGGTACAATATTTGGCAATAAAAAGTTCCCTTTGGAATAAAAAAAAAAAAGAAAAGTATAAAATCATTTAAAAAGTGGGCAAGAAACTATAAAAAATGGCATTGAATTCAACTTTCCCAAACCCATGGTCCACTAGAACAGGAAATCGAATTAGTTCGATAGGTCAAATGCTGGTTTTGATATGTTCTTATTAAAATTACATTTTTAATATTTTCATCCAAGGATTCAAAGCTTCGCGGCATCCTTACTTAAAGAATTGAATTAAAAAATAAATAAATGAAAATATATAAAAATATGGAATAATGCATAAAATTATATATATGTAATTTGATTTTTTTGTTACAACGATTTGTGAGTTTTTTAATTAATGCATCGTTTATATTTTTTTCTCTCTTTTTTCTTTTTGTATCTTTTAAACTGCCTCCGACTATAAATTAATTTTTTTTCTAAATCTATGTTTTATATTTTAATTTTTTAGATTTTTTTATTTTGCCTTAGTTTTGTTTTTGTATTTGTTATTTAATATTCTTTTATGTTTTTCTGATTTTTTAGGCCACTTGGCCTGGTGCACTCATCACGCGAGGTGAGTTAAAATTTGAGAGTGAAACAACACTTCGGTCCTGAAATAAATTTGAGAGTTAGGTTACTGAGCAATATAAACAGAGAACATGCACCAATTGGTTATGAAAAGAATAAGATATACATAATTTGGTGAAAAAAGTAAAAGAATTTGTGTTAAACATGACACTGATATTGTAATTGGTCTTTACTTTATCTATTGGTGGCTTCTAGTAGGCTTATTACAAAGTATTTTGATGAGCATATATCATATTAATTGGATCCAATTCTCAGATATTTATGGCCTTCAAATCAAGAAATCAACTTGTTTTGAAGACCATCTTCTAATAGTAAATTAAATTAAAGCAACAATTGATAAACATATTGAGGTTAATGCATAATTTCAGTTATGTTTTGCATGATTTGATTACTGTTAACCCCTTAAAGATTAATATTATTACATTCACATAGTAAAAGAAAAATTAGATTCTATCAAAAAAAAAAAGTTAAAAATAAAGAGTTTCATAGTACGCACCAATATTTATCTACTCGTGTGATTCCACCCGAACTCAGACTTACCCGAGTAAGTCAGGTATTGCAAGTTTCTTTGCCCATGTCCTTCGAAACTCTAGGCCACCTAAATTATATACTAACCGACTTGTATTTCTATACTGACTTACATGTAGTTTTCATTAGATTTTTTAGGGTTCTATATTTTTTCATTTTTTTATATTTTTTTGAGAAAGTAACCTTTAAAATATATTTTTTCATTTTTTTTACTTTCTGAAAATCTCTTCTCATCTTCCTTGTACATTTCACATTCTGGCTTTTGTTTTTTTCCTGGTCTCTATAGATTTTTCAATATTTTTCCTTACTATTAAAACGTTTTTTAGCCACTTTTGAGCTCGCCATGGACTCATACAAGTACGCCAGGACTCACTCGAGTTACCTAGTCGGTGGTCGATTTTTGTTGCCAAAAAACATCTACGCATGCATATAATATGTCCTTGAATCAACTTTCACTCACATCCCAAATTAGAAAACATGGATTGTCTCTTCGAATACATCCAATAAAATTGGAACAATACAGAGAAGATTAGTATAGCCCTTGCACAAGGATAACAACATTAGAAAACATGGATTGCTCGTTCACTTTTACAAAAACCATAACTGCATAATGGTATTAACCCTACAAAAGAGAACTTTCTTGTGTGAAATAATGCTTGAATTATGCAAGTATTTGCTTGTATTGAGAAGGAAAGATGTAGATGAATATTTTATCCATGGCTCTCACACAAGTGAGTCCCCATCTCCTATTCACAAAGAGAAATACAACAGTTCCCCAAAAACCAGTAGTATAGCCCGAAACAACACAAGCATAAAATATTGGAGTTCTGTCCAGCCATCCTTCCTCTGTATCTCCTCCCTCGTTATTATTTGATGTGCTCGAAGCATTGTGTGATACGGTGGTGGAACATCCGACTCCTTGGAGAGAATGCAGCCCAGGGTTACCACTAAAAGAAGTCTCATTGAAGGTACAAAAGTGGGTCCCACTTGGTATCCAACCTGATAGATTGTTATTTGCGACGGAGAAGATGGACAAAAGGCTGAGTTTACTCAGTTGAGGAGGTAATGGACCAAAGAGCCCATTGTGAGAAAGATCCAAAGTTGTGAGACTTGATAACTCTCCAAAGGAATTGGGGATTGGCCCAGTTAGATGGTTGTTGGAGAGATTTAACATCTCGAGTGCTTTCAATCGCCCCATCTCTGGTGGAATTGGGCCACTCAACTTGTTGCAAGACAAATCCAACTGAGTCATGTATACAAGGGCTTTCCCACTGAAACTGTACATGTCCTTTGGCAAAATTGATCTCTTCTCCTATAATTGGGAATCTTATGCCGTACTTAATGCGAATAGATACATGAATACCAAGGGTATCAGGCTTGCCAGATAATAAAGAAATATTACAGAAGCAAGCTGGTATGGGACCATTAAGTTTATTTTGAGCAACGTCGAGAACGGCAAGGTGTTGCAATTGACATAAACTAAATAGAATTCCACTCCTAAAGTGATTACCTCGTAAGTTTAGTACTTGCAAATTTCTAAGTTTATTTAGCTGTTTGGGAATGACACCTGACGTGTTATTATTTGCAATGTCTAGAATCACCAGGGATGGACTACGCGATACGAGATTTTCAGGAATAGTTTCATTCAATGTGTTGCCATCAAGATGCAATGATTCTAAGCTGGAAAGGTTAAAATATTCAGATATCAAGGGCCCCTCCTAGTAGTTTCCAGACAACCCTAAATATTTTAGTTGATTTCCACGAGTTAGATTACAGGGTAGTCTTCCAGTGATTTTGTTGTTCGATAAGTTCAGGACTTCAAAATCGTAAGTTGAGGAGGGCAAATTACCTGTTATATCATTTGCAGATAAACCTAACACGGTCAATTGCTTGGGGTTGTTGATATAATTAGCAATGTTCCCATAAAGAGAACTATTAGAGATTTTCAATACTTTGAGACTTGGAAAACAAGAGAAGTTTGTTGGTAGTTCCCCACTGAGTTGATTGTTTGATATGTCCAAAGATATAAGACTAGAAGATGTGTTGGGTAAAACAAGGGCCCCCGAGAAAAAATTCCCACTCTAATCTAGTGCTACTGTGAATTGAAGTAAACGAGGGGGAATACGCCACTGAATGTTGTTGTTGGAGAAATCAGCAAATTCTAATATGTATTGTGTGGAGAGAAAGCTTGGAATGCTCGTATAAAACTTGCTTACATTGCATGGAGACATATAGAGGAAGCTAAGCTGAAAAAGAGTGTGATTCGACGGCAATATTGTCAGCTTTGGGTTATAAGAAAGGGCAACTTCGACGAGTTCAGATAGGTTTGAGAAAGTAGAGAAGGAGAAATTACCCCATAAATCATTATGACTGAGATCCAACACTGCCAAGGACTGGAGATTATGTAGCTCATGAGGGATGGAACCCCCTAGGTGATTTCGGTTAAGGTTGAGACCGGAAAGAACAGAGAGGTTGCCCAAGCAAGAGGGTATGGCCCCTTTTATTTCATTATCCTTCAGACAAAGTTTTTCCAAAAATGGCAGGGAGGGCGCACAGAGACGGAGGGATGCTCCCATCAAGTTGGTTACCACCCAAACTGAGTTCCTTGAGATGGTGCAAGTTGTCCAAAGCTGAAGGTATGCTTCCTTGGAGCCTACAGTCGTCCAACCACAGTTCATGGAGTGAAGTAAGTAGGCCTACCTCCTCAGGAATTGGCCCCTCAAAGTCATTGGAATCCAAATATAAAAAGTTCAAGTTCCTCAATTTTGAGAGTTCTGCAATCAAATAACCATATAAATTAAATGAGTGAAAAAGAACTCAGTAACTCCGTGGAGGGGCAGGTAAAATTATATGGGCACTCACAAAGCTCTCTTTTAAATAAATTAGAAGAAGACATTAATCTACCTTTAAATGGTAGCTCACCACCTAAATTGTTAAAACTCAACCCCAAAAAGCTCAGCTGCTGCAGTCGAGTTAAGGAGGTGGCGTTCAGATACACTCTGCCTAACTTAGTATCATCCCCTCTAATGCCAGATAAATATAGACTCAAGACATGAGAATTGGTGTAGTGGAACTTACCTCGCTCCCAATGACAACAATTGAGCCCTTTCCATGACTCCAAAAATTCAACCCCCTTCGAAGTTTCACTTGGGTGGATGAGAGAAGCTCTGAATTTCAGAAGAGCCGCCCTCTCATGCTCATGGCACAATGGCAAAGAATAAACGGAGGAATGTGCAAAGAGAGTGAGCAGCAAGAGGATCAACAGTGAGAAAGGGGAGACAATGGAAGATGGAAAGTTGCAGTAAGCCATGATGTGTGTAGTAATCGACTTCAATTTGGATTGGTTCAGAAGCTATCCCCTTGGTTCTTATAAGGGGAAGAGTGATTACAGTTTCAGTGAAATTTACAGGAAATGACCAAAACTGAGATTCGTATTCGTGAATGAAGGGTTGGAAATCAAGACACTCGCGTGAAAAGTAATTCTCATTGATTTCCATGTTGAAAGATGCACACTTCCTGAAGATCACAGAGAGAGAGAGAGAGAGAGAGAGAGGCACTAGGCAACCATTTTTGTCTCCTTTCGAGGAAATTATAAAATCTACAAAAAGTCCTTTGGAAAACATAAATGATGCAATGAAAATATAGTTTCGGTGTCGCAAAGCCTTGCAATGATATAAAAAATCTATTGTTTCCCTTAATTATGAAATTTAAAATTTCAGAAATCAAGACGATCAAGCATATCTATATACACTTGAAAATCATGAAAATGGACGGTCTAGATTGTTGGGTTTATGTAGCCTTTAAAGGCCTCATGAGTGTGTAAAATACTTTCATCATAGTAAAACATAAATTCAGTGGGAGCGTGGTCCCTCAAGGATCATACTAAGCAAATGATGTTTGCTTAAACTGGATTGTGTTTATCGATCTAGGCCAGACGGTTGAAAAACCCTAGGTACCTGGGCATAAAGAATTAACCGATAAGAGTTTTGGGTTAACCCTTGATGAGGTCGGAGCTTATGCCTAAATGAGAGAGCCGATAGACTATGATACCCTCGTGTGTGATGGTAGGCCTACTGAGACGGGTGTCAAAACCTCATCCATATTCCATCACACGGCATGCATATTGATAGACCATTCGGGAAAGCCAGATATCCACCTTTGGGTGAAGCGTATGCATGTGCGAGAGATACCCCTACACATCATAGAGCTGTGGTCGCATCAGGTCGTGGTGACCTTGACTCGTCTCTAAAGGAGGACCTGTAATCCACAGACTGGGATTGCGACCTTTTGATTCATCGACCTGACTTTAGTGACCCGCTAATGAGCCCCTACTTGGACTGTGGGTCATGGGAAACACTGGGTCGGTTCGATAAAGGTAGCATGGTCTGTAGTCCACAGTTGAAGGTGGAGTACCTCATTATTACAGATTGGATTCCTAAAATCATGTGGATCATTCTCTCATCATATTAATTTAATTGTGTTCATTTTATTATTAAAATGATTTTAATTTTATTAGTTGAATTTTTATGAATCTCTTAATACTTTATTTGTGATTTTTGGACTTATAAAAATACAGTTATTGTTCGTATAAAGTTATAAAAATTCAAATATATATTTTAAATTGTTTTATTCAATTTTAAAATAATATACTTTTATAAAATATTCCATGGGGGCCTAAAGTGCACATGCGCCCACCATGTGGCATATGGATGGGGGCCCACATGTGCCACAAAAGGGTGACACACCCCACCCTCTCTCTTGTTTGCTTTATGTTCAAGTTTTTAAGATAAGGTAAGTTTGATTTGTGGCATGTGGTCAAATCTTAGAAGGGAAATATTGACCATGACTTTATTTGTTTCATAGCAAGTTTGTTTGAAAGATATATGATCAATTTGAATAGATATTAAATATTGATCTTATCTTATTTATATTTGGTAGTATTTATTTACTTGATAATGTTTGACCTATCCTTATGGAATATGTGACATCGATTATGCAATTTTATGGAATACATGATATTTATTTTATTTAAATATATTGATGGGAAAATGGTTTAAGGAAAAGGGGGATAATAGTTCAAGCACCTTTCATAATGTTGATAGCCCATCTACGGAATGAATGACTCAGATCTCTCACCCAACAAGTCACATTGATCAACGGTCTAGATTCAATCTTGTGAAAGAGACAAACTATGAAAAAACCCTAAGAAAACTTAAATATACACAACAAATATGAGTGTTCTTCCCCAATCTCTATGCACACAACCTCTCTTCTCTCTCTCACCTCTCTCTCTACTAGAGGGGCATGCCCCACTCTCTCTCCTCCATCTTTCTCTCTCTAATTTTCTCTCTCCAAATTTTAGGTGGTACTCTCTCTCCTCTCTAGATCTAAGTTAATTTTGGGGGTTAAAGTTTTAGTTGAGATTTTAAGGGGTGGTTACCTAGTTTAGCCAAAATCAGCTAACTCGGTTTGAGATTGAAGCTAGACCACAGATCTCACGCCATTGGATATAGTGACTCAGTGTAAGGTGTAAAAAGCCCGGTAGAGGTAATCTCTGGCATCTTTTCTTTTATTTGTTGAATTCTTTTATTTTATATTCTCAAGCACGGTATTAGGTTGTATGAATGGCATCAAGTAGTTGAGATTTATTTTATTAATGTGTTATTTATTTTTGAAATTTCTATTGTTTGTAATAAGATCAACTGTGAGTGATCTTGTTGCCAAAATTATAAGAGGTGATTATTATTAAAAAAAAAATTGTATTTCTCCGGCAAAAGATCACGTAAGTCTTTCTTTCATAGACCATGTGTTAGAAGATGAACTATGTTGAGGGCTAGAAATCCATGTTTTTTTTGTTTTCATGTCTATGAATCTCGAGATCAAGATGAACTAATTTAAAGGTTTTCTAGCATAGGAACAACCTTCTCTAGTGGATTTTTTAGGTGCACCTTACTTGTACAATATAAGGTTGACACTTGATATAAACCTTTTCCTTTGGTTCATCTATTAGGTACAGCTGGCAAACGGATGCATCCGTAGTTGTAGAGGTAAGGTGCGCCTTCAAATTTTTTCTTAGAATATAATTTAGATGTAAAATGTTCTTAGGATTATCTCAAAATCTATTTTTATATCTAATTATAAAATTTTAAATTTTAAAAATAGTTAAAATCTAGTAGATCTATAAACATATGAAAATCTTGAAAATGGAGTGTAGATAATATGTTGTAAAATGCACTATTTCTGATACTTAAAATCTTTTTATTTGTCATGGCCATATATCTCAATGTCGAGATGATCAATCAAAAAGTTTTTCAACATTAAAACTACCTTTACCGATAGATTTGTTAGGTGTATCTGTTGCTCTACATTATAAAGTTGCAACCTTATATAAACTTTTTCCTTATCTATTTGCGTACAAATGGCTGAGACAAATTCAAAAAGTGGGCTCCTCCACTCCGTTCAAGTCTATTGCGTACCCCATACGTTGTTGGGTTTGTTCCATATTGATCCGGCCAATCCCCAAGCAAACTGAATTTACCCATTTAATTATGTATGGACCCGGTTTTTATGCAATTAAGCCCACATATGTAGAAATATGGGCTTCTTAATAAATTTATTTTTTAGATAGATTTTAATATTTAATTTTTAAGGACATGTAATCTCTAACATGAAGATCATGAATATGAAAAAATAAATAAATTTAAAAAACTAAAAATAATAATTCCAGTAAGAAAATATTTGGACCGTTAGTTTCCCTTGTTTTTAGATAGAACACATATTTGCATTCATCTTTAAAATGGATGCTTTACACTTTTTAAATCGCATATGTAGACATGCGGGCCAACCCACGTGAAACAATTTTCCATTATGTATTATTTACATGTTATAATCTATATATGAGATGGTATATATCTGTTATTTTTAACGTTATTACAAAAAGGATACGGTTTGTATAGAGCCTAGGCTCTAAACAATCAAATTAGAGCCGACCTTCAAATAGTGTCGAGAAATGTGGTTTTAATATTGGAAATCTTTGTGACAGCCTTAAAATATATTTTCATATTTATTTTTAAAGTTTAAAGTTTCAAAAATACTATAGATCGACATATATATGAAAAATTGGAAATCTTGAAAATTGACGGCCCAAAAATACGTTACAAAATACATTATTTTCAAAATTTGCAATCCATTTTTTTCTCATGTTCATGCATCTTGATATTGAGATGATCAATATGAAGATATTTGAGCATCAAAACAACCTCTTTTAGTGAAATTTTTGAGGTAGTCTCTAATTTGATTTTTTAGAGTATTTGTACCCATTTTTTTCCCTTTCACAACATTTTTTTAAAAAATGATGGTTGAAGAACCAAATTAATAACATTTTCGTTATTTCAATAACTGAAAATGTTAAATTTTTCAGATTTTAACGATCCTTATTCAAGGTTTTCGGTCATCTAAGAGAAACCAAATTTATAACTTTCGAAAAGTCACACTCGGATTCGTCACCAATCATCTAGTTCGGTAAATCGTGGTTGGGGGATCCGATATCTTGATGGTTTGGCATAGAAAATGACATAATTTAGGAAAAGGAATGAATTAGGATCCATGAAGTGGTCCCAAACTCAAAATATCTTCCACTTCCCAATGGTTTACTTTTGACTATCACACACAATGCTTTTATACACCAAGTATTTGTATGGCTGAATGGATGGGAAACAAAGGGGTACAGGTGTCTCTTTAAAGGAAGGGCTTTCTATGTGACCCCACCGACATATATATTATATGTAACCCAAGTTTCAATCATCATATTTGAGTAGATGATGGAGATGTTGGGTTTCTATGACCTTTAAAGGTCTTATGAGTGCGTGTAAAATGAAATTATATAGTGGAACATGAACCCAGTGGGAGTGTGGTCCCTTATAGACCATACTAAACAAACGATGTTTACTGATACCAGACTGTGTTTGACGATCTATGCCAGTCGGTTGGAAAACCCAAGGTATCTGAGCATAGATAACAAACCGAGAAGGGTTCTCAGTTATCCCTTGATGAGGTCGGAGCTTCTGCCTAGATGAATGAGCCGGGGGACTGTGTGATGGTGGGCCTACAGTGACAGGGGCCAAAACCTCATCCATGATCCATCACATAACATGCATATCGATAAATCGTTCGAGAAAGCCATATATATACCTTTTAGGGTGAAACATATGCATGTGAGAGAGATACCCTTATGCGCCATAGAATTGTGGTCGCATGAGATCTTGGTGACCTTGACTCGTCTCTAGGGAGCTGAAATCCACAAACTGGAATTGCGACTTTTTGGCTCATAGGCCAGACTTTGGTGACCCACTAATGAGCACTTGTTTGGACTGTGGGTCATGAAAAATACTGGGTCGGTCTGATAAAGCAAGTGTGATCCGTAGTTCACA